ATAAGTGATAAGTTGGAATATAAAATGAATTTATTTGATTAAGGTGAAAATATATGTTATTATTTCTGGTAGCTCTTAATGGACTTTTTGTTTATTGATAAGGAATATGGAAAGGGTTTTTTTACTGAAATATTAGAGAAGGAGTTAAGTTACTGAAGTTGTTTATACTTGTCTGGAGGGAAGGGGGAGTCACTTCTTTTTTTTTCTTTTTTATTATATTTTCCTTTTCCTCTGCACCTTTTATTTTCTCCTTTTTATTTTTTCTATTCTTCTTAGTTTGTATTAAATTTATAACTTTGTATTTATAAACTTTAATAAAATTATTACAAAAAAAAAGAAGAAAGAAATAGGAGGAAATGCTGTCTTATCTTATAGCACCATTACAATATTGGTGGATAATATCCCAGTCTTCTCCAACTTGGTGACAGTACTTATGCTGCTCATGGGAATTCTGGAAGTCTTAACACAAATGATAAGCCCCAGTTTGGGAAAGAAAAGTGTAAATTAAATATTTTTAATTAAGTGGGAACTTCTATTTCTGGTTCACTCACCTCTGACTACTTCCCAGCAACACCATGTAATCTGTTTGAACTCGATAGTGGCCAAAAGGCACATTTGCCATCAGGTAGCAGAAGTGAGCAGCTTCTATTAACCCTTTCCCAGCTGAGTAAATAAAAAGGCATACATGAAATTATGGGAAGAACATAAGAGAACACAAAATGCATATGATTCTTTTCAGGAAAAGGAAGTCTTATGAGAAGGGAGGAGGAGATTCATTGGGGGAAACTGCAATCTTTTCGTAGCATTAAAATGCACCTGCATGGACATTATAACAATTTGCCATTTTTATATAGTTAAGTACAACAAAAGTTCTAGCTCTTTTGTGATTGCCACCCACACTCATAGCTTCTCATATTGTCGTTGCTTTTTCAAGCAGCAGTGGAGAAAGATGATAAGACGGGGGAATTACATGAGAAGATAATGCCAGGATCAAAGGTTTGGCAGAGGGATGCCATTTCCATGGTTCTTCCCATGTGGCCTTCCCTTTTTAAGTGATTCCTCTATTTGTATGCAGCTGGAGCACCATGGAAAGCAGACACAGCTCCTTTAGCATAAGAATTGGGGATCATTCCCCTTCTCTCTCTCTCTGATGTGTGTGAATTTCCTCACCCAAGGTGTCTCCCATGGTGATGATGGCTCTGGAATTCAGGCCCAGGTCTCCTACTTGATTAGACAGCATGACAGCCAGGTGTGGCCTCCAGTCACCCCACTTGTCATCTCCACAGCACTATAGTCGAAAAAGGGAAAATACAGAGCACAAAGGAGATAAAACATCACCATTTACTCAACTTCACCTCCTCTGTCTGGCATAAGATCCAGGAAAAATGCTCCAAATGTTTAGGAAGCAAACCAGATATTTTTTGTGGTGTGTCACTTTGGTTCATGAATTTAGCAAAACAACATTAAACAAAGCACAGTGGGTATCTGCTCTTGAAGTAGGAAGAAAATATGTAATCCTTAAGGCAACCTTCACCAAGTGCCAGTGCTGGCATTACAACTCCCAAAATGCCCAGCCAGCATGTAGCCAAAACGCAGTTGGCAGAGTTTATTTGCCCAGCTTTTCTTCAAGGCAGCTTACATGAATGAGGTCTTCCTTCATTTTATCCCCACAACAGTAGCCTAGTAAGGTACATTGGGCTAAGAGAAAGAGACTGCTTCAAAGTGACCCAGCAAGCTTCATGATTAAGGAGGAACTTGAATCTGGGTTTCTTCAGTCTTACTCCAACACTAATGAGTCAGTCACCTCACAGACTGGGGGGAGGCTGACCTGGGGTTAACTTTCAGGACATTTTGGCTTCTGAAGTATGCCAGTGTTTCTAGCCCCATTATTGCCTCCCATGAAACAGTGGTTAACTTTTTGACTTAATGGAACTTTTCTCAGTAGGACTGCCTAAACCACTAGACTGGCTGGAGAACCTGTCCCAAGAAACCACATATGTAGATGCTCTGGATGCTCAGAAATAACAAGGTCAATAATGCAGCAAGAAAGGGGGTAGTAGCAGAACAGTTACTCCATGGGCATTCCCAGAGTGTTTCATTCAGACTACCTCCACCCCAAGCAGCCATCTCATTCCTCAAACCCCACTTTAATTTGCCCTAATCATTTACGAAAGGCAGAAGGTAGAGTGTATGTTCAGAATGCTGCCTGAACGAGGTACTCCTGTCAAGACCCTGCAACTCAGGATAGCCATATCTGAGGTAGCAACCGCACCCTCATTAGGTCTGTGTAGACTGCAGCAGACCACCGCTTTCAGCCTCAGAAGGAAATGGACAGGTGCAGCATATGGCCCTAAAACTGGCAGGCAGAAAGAGGCATCTAGAACGGCATTTTAAAAATAATTCCACACTTTAAAGCATTCCACACTTCTCTGTTCAGCTGAGGTTTAGGCTGCTAGACCATAATTCCCAGCCTAAATATGAATCAGCTGATTC